CTCTCCAGTTTTCCCAAGACCATTTGTTGAAGAGATGATCTTTTTTCCATTGGAAATTCTCTCCTGCTTTGTCGAAGACTAGTTGGCCATACAGTTGTGGGTCCATTTTCTGAGTTCTCCATTCTGTTCCATTGGTCTACGTGTCTGTTTCTGTGCCAGTACCATACTGTCTTGATGACTACAGCTTTGTAATAGAGCTTGAAGTCCGGAATTGTGATCCTTCCAGCTCTGCTTTTCTTTTTCAACATTACTTTGGCTATTTGGGGTCTTTTCTGGTTCCATACAAATTTTAGAATTGTTTGTTCCAGCTCTGTGAAAAATGCTGGTGTTGTTTTGATAAGGATTGCACTGAATGTGTAGACTGCTTTGGGTAGTATAGACATTTAAACAATATTTGTTCTTCCAATCCATGAGTATGAAACGTTTTTCCATTTCTTTGTGTCTTCTTCAATTTCTTTCACAAGCGTTTTATAGTTCTCAGCATACAGATCTTTGCAGAGCAAAGAACCCAGAAGAGCCCCGGGGCAGGGGATGGGACTCCCTTGCTGGCTCGGTCAGCCATCTTAGGACACAGATTTTTCCTTATCATCTCCATTGGTGCCCATGGTTCCTGGTCACACTGCTTCAAAGAATGAAGAGGTAGACTAGAGGAACAGTGGTGGACAGCAAAGCAAAGTTTATTGGGTGACAGTACAAAGCTCCCAAGGAGAGAGGGGACCCAAGAGGGTTGTCACCAGAGTTTCTAAATCTAGGGATTTTTATGGCTTTGTTGGCAAGCTGTTTTAATCTGATTAACCCTCCCTGCACTTGTCATCCAATCAGGTTTTTGTCACATTGGAAAGGGTGAAGGCCTCTTTCCAGGGTGGTGTAAAATCCTTTTAAGGGTGGTTTCCTCTTGGGGTGGTGGGGGTGCTTGTCTCTGCCTGCCTTTCTTCCAACTATCCTTCCTCAGTATTTGCTTTAAAACTCCCTAGTGTTGATTAAAACTCTGGGATAAAGGACAAGAAAAGACAGCATTTTCTCAAATGGTATTAGTAATGGGGGGCTTTGCTGTTCTCTCTCTTGCTTTCTCTAAAATGGGAAGAACAAGCTATTGAAAGAAATGAAGCATAGAGACTTAAAGCTAACACCAATAACCCTTGTTCAACCTGGGGTCTGGCCACAGGACAATAATTGTCTGAAGTGGCCAATAAAGATATTGGCCTTAATATTGGAAACTAGAAAGAATGATAGCTAACTAAATTAGTAGGAAGGGTCACTTTCTATGGGTTTTGTTTTCCTAGCAACTTGGCAAGAACCTGGCCTCTCCTAAGTGTTAAGGCAAGGAAAAATAGTAATGATGTTACTATGAACTAGGCTCCTATTGCTGCCAGACTGGATGCTTCCCATATTTTGCCTTGTTTTAGCCTCACAACAACCCTGTGAGGTAGACACTATTAATACTCCATTTTATGAATAAGGAAACAGAGACATGGAAAGATTAACTCAGAGAGAGGTTTCCAACTTCAGTTTTGATCTGTAGAATGCTATATGTCCATGATTTTTCCACTATCCCATAAAAATAAAGTGGGGAAAAAGAAGCAAATCAAGTAGGCCACCCACAGTGTAAGCTCCCTACTCTGGACTATTACCTTACTCCTACATTTCTCATACTCCATCTTGTATTTTACATCATCTTATACCAGTCTTACTTTCATAAATGTATTCCAAGATCTTTGAAAGCTGATATTTTATCTTGTACAATGTTGTACCCTCAACATTAGGAGGAACTCAGTAAGTATTTAGTGAATAAGAGAATGAATGAATGAATAAACTTTGCTCTCCTAGGCCTTGTATCTATTTCCTACCACACCAAACCTTAATTCCTTGGTATGGTATTTAGTGATAATAAAAATACTAGCCAACAGTAACTGAACTGAACTGGACAACAGTAACAAAACTGAATAGTTACAATGCAGCAAACCTCTATGCAACACCCTTTACATAAACACCAGAACATTTAATCTCCACAATGACAGCGGACAACCTGGAAGGAACAGAGATTTAGGATTAAATCCAGGTAGTCTCATGCCTAAATCCATACAATAAGCCCTATGTCCCAGGCTCCCTCCCAGCTATTACCTATCTGCTGAACCTGAATTCCTACTTCTTCCCCAGATACATCCTCCAGTTAGATTGGTTTTTTTACTGTCCTTCCTTTCTATAAGCCTTCCTAATTTTTTTTTTTTTTTAAAGATTTTATTTATTTATTTGACAGAGAAAGACCCAGCGAGAGAGGGAAC